AAGCCAGTCTGATCAACCAGAACTACAGGAGGTCCTCGCCGGTTCACGGTCGTTGGCCCTGCTCTTCATCGCCATGGCCAACATTTCGCTGTCCTTTCGCTCCCGACGAGCCGTTCCCACCGTTCAGTCGTCAAAGAACCAGAGCGACTGGGGGGATTCGGTGTTTGAGATGCAGAAGGAAGCGAAAGAGGAGTTCGAGAAGAGGAGGAAGGATGGGGTTGTGATGGAGGAGCTGAGGGACGTTGTGCTGATGACACAGAGATTGAGGAGGTTGTTAGGTGAGGGAGAGGGGAGAGAGGAGGCGAGGAGTTTAGCGAGGGAGTTGAAAAAGAGCTGCGAGGGGTTGGAGGGGGCGATTCAGAGCTTGGAGGAGGGAGTTGATGGCTTGTACAGGGGACTCGTTGATGTAAGAATTTGTATGTTGAGAGTCATCTCAGATGTATAGAGAAGGAAAAAATACAAAAGGCTTAATGAAATACCTTCAAATTTTGACGAGAAACAAACACCTCCTGTTCCTAATTTTTGCGTTTAGTTCATATTAACAGCCAATTCCTCAATTCTCTTCATTGCAGAGCTCAGTTGATGTCTGATTAGTTACACAAATTAACGTGCAAATACCCCGTACTTTGTTATATTTCATCCTTACTCGTGAGAAGATCGACATGAATACGCTTGTAATTTCATTTGTAGACGACACAAAATTGGACCAAGGTGAACAGAAGCGGTATGATAGGGATCAGTATGTCCCTAATATTCCTCCGATTATGTCGATCACATGACACCGTTGTCTCCTGCGTAAGCATACACGTAGCTTCTACTGTTGGGGAATCAACTCAGAATCTCGTTCATTAATTAGGTAGACAATTAGACAAGTCATCACTCTAATCCCCTTGTTTAATTCCTTCTGCCCCCCACAAAATCCAACACAAAACAAAGCTATAATCACTAATAGCCAGTCACCGAGACATAGAACAACAAAGAAAAATTCAATCCGACTCAAGTCCCTTAATTCTCAATCAAATTCCACGGATCAAAATGATTCTCAGTACTTGATGCATGCACCACGCACAATAAGGGACAGAAACCGTAGAAGAAGAAGTATCTTCGTCTCCCTCGTGCTTAAGAGAAGCAAGATGTGCGGAAAATTTGTGCTGCACGTTTTGGAGCAATGACTGCTGCAATATCTTCAGACTCTCGTGTCAGGAACATGACTATGGGCATTAGGGAGAAACTATTTATCAATTTATGTATCCCGAACTATGAGACGAACTATGACTATTCATAAAAATAAATGTGAAGCATGGATTTTAAATGGACTGCGCTGAACGATGCAGACATGTACCGATGCATCTGTGAAGAAATTATGAAGTTTAAAAGGACTGTATTAGATGATACTACCTGATCCTGCTCGACCCGATCCTCTCTCTCTCTCTCTCTCTCTATATATATATATATATATAAACGATGCAGAAATATACCAATGCATCTATGTAAGAAATTATGAAGTTTAAAAGGACTGTATTAAGTGATACTACCTGATCCTACTCGACCCGATATCATCCTACCCAAAAAATTATGAAGTTTAATGGCTATTCCTACCACCGATAAATAAGATTGGCAGGTTCAGCCTGATGACCTGTGAGAATTTCTAGTTAAAAAAAAGGACTGTATCAAATGATACTGAGAATCAAAACTGAAGTTTCAATAAACCTTGGCTCTGTATATATGAATGACTAATGATCAACTACTGGTATGGTATCAACTATCAAGCGAAAAACTAAGAATTTTCACAAAATTCAGAACACTAATACAACTAATCAGAGGAGAACTGAGGGGCGTGAAGACCTTACATCAATTCAGTAAACAGCTATGTTTCCTATCAAAAGAACATGAAAAACCCTCCTAGTGTAGAAGCAACTATGTATCCCAAGCGCGCAAATCTAGCATATGATAGAATTCGAGTAACCTGCTAAAAGCACGAAATACCCTCCCGATTCCAAAATTTTGCATAATCATGAATTAATTATTGGGAAATAATAGCCTTCTATTTTAGGAAATTCTAGTTAGAGTTGGATTGGGGATTGAATCTGATGGGAAAGAATCAGTTATAATTAGAATTAAATTCTAATTGAAGAGAATTAGAATTGATAATCCGAGTCAAAGATTGAGCCCCACATAAATTTAAGAGAGGGGAAATGCCTTTAAATAACCAAAAGCTGAAGGGAGCTGCATATTGTAAAAGAGAAGAAGAGAAGTAGAGAAAACTAATGGAAGACATCTAGGTTTTGTGAGAGATCTTTTGGTGAGATTGAGAGAGTGTTTCTTTTGAGATCTATCTTAGATCACAAGAACAGATTATCTTGTAATCTTCAAAAATAAAAGAAGACTCAATTCTCTTCTCGTGGGCGTAGCTGATTGCCGAACCATGCAAATTCTATGTCTTTGTCTCTTGATCTACTTACTGTAGTGTATTAATACTCACTTTTTGCTCAACCATGTTTTCTCAGTGTTTCCACATCGCCCAGTGATCGATTGGTCTATAAAGAAGAAGGAGATCTAATCAGGGTATTCGGTGACGCTTCCACAGGCTACTCTTCCTCGTAGATCGCCAATTGATGCGCAACGATTGGTGTCGGGTTGCGGGTGGCGTGCGCCAACACTAATCTTAAAATTTACAAAGATGACTAGAAAACTTAATACGGTTATGTAAAATTCATGGGCGGAACATGATCAACATGAAAAAGGATTTTGCGCTTACTCCAATTTCTCTTGTGATCAACCTTTGGGTCTCACAAGAGGGACACTTCTGAACCATTCTTCACCACTTAAAAACCCAAAATACTGGAAGTAGTTAGTATACTGACATGCATTGTGACCCACTACATGAAAAATCCTACATATGCATGCATCATGCATGCATGGTTGATATGATCATTTTTCCGGCGGAGACTTCTGACAAGGCACACACTACTCTAACACAGGTGAACAATGGAAAATAAAGATACTGCCTTGTGCAATGTCCAATATGAGACTGCAACGAGGGTCTTGAGAAATTTTCTGTCAGTCAAGCAGAAAACATAGGTTCTTCACCATATAGGTCCATTTCATTCTATGTCTATGAGGTCAAATGGCTTTAAGCAAATCAACTGCGTTGTCGTGCAAAATAATCAAGATGGTGGAGTCCATCGGCCTTTGGTCGAGTCAATTACTTTTATTGATCAGGTAGACGCATCACTAGGCATGGTCCATTAAGGATTTGTGATAACCAGATGCATTCGGAAGTTTGCATATCAAAAAAGAAACAATAGAAAACAAGAAAAATCAAAAAGAAAAAAAAGTCTCGACTAAGTTCATGATAAAAACATATTGATAGTCGAATATATACAAATGCACAACGCTGCACGCTACGATTAGAAAATCATAACATATGAAGAAACATACAAAAGAAAAGATATACCTATAACTAGATCAAAAATTAAGACTACATCTACATATTCTTAAACTCGTACTCTAACCTGAGTTTTATAACTAAAGTTTCTATAACCATTCTACCCCTAATTCTAAAGATATTGCAATCTATTGGAAACAACTATATTGATTTTTTTTAGTTATAAAACATTATAACAAGTTAGGTAGAATGATTAAGTCGAATCGAATGCACCAGCATAAAACTAATTTAATCCTCAAGAACTCAAGAATCTTAAAATCGGTTAAGCAGTAGGTAAATATGCCCCTCAATTTGTTTTTTCTGTCTAATTTTATCCTACAACTTAATTACTGGAGAATCAGATTGGAATTTTCCACTAATGCTAGTTAACATTTTTGGAAGTTCCTAGCATGCCCTTTGATAAACTAATCAAAACTAAGATAATTAGATTATCTCTTTTTAACCCTTTTTGTTTCTCTCTCCTCTCCCTGCGAGCTGCTCTCTCCCAAGCTCAAATCCCCAAAACTTTAGCTTAATCTTTCAAATGCCAAGATCCTAAATTGACAGTTAAAAATAAAACTTTGAGAAGTGAGATTACCTGAGGATCAAGCACATACCGACGTGAGATTAAGCAACAAAAATACAAAAAAAAAAAAAAACTTTAATCAATTAATGGGTGAACCACCATCGTGAACGGAGGTAGCCGTAATTAGATTGAAAGGCAAAATCGACAGAAATAAACAAATTGGAAGTAAACACGTATAATTTGGAGGGTATATATGAAAAATGATTATCTTAAGTATATATATTTTACGTTTTTTAGGAAAACACCACAGACACACCCCCAACCACACCTTGAGTCACACCCCTCTCTCAGCTACAGTGCACAGGGTCCACTTTAACTTTTTTGCTAAGGGCCCGTTTGTTTTGATTTTTTTGAAGAGGAAAGTGGTGTGAAAGCTACCAAAACTGACAAAAACTGTCAGTTTTGACAGACTTTCTTGTAAAAACGCCTCTAAAAAAGATGTTTTTGCAAGAAAGCCTGTCAAAACTGACAGTTATGATAGACTTTCCTCTTAAAAAAAAATCAAAACAAACGGACCCTGAAGGAGGGAGGACACAAAGGTCAACGTAGAAGAATGCTTGCGGAGGACACAAAAGTCAACGTAGAAGAATGCTTGCGAAATTTGCGAACATGCAGATTTGGGGTTTAAAGTTGAAAATACAATACCGTTTGGGTTGTTATTGCAAAAATCCAAATTGTACCTTTTATCTAATAAATAGTCAATCTCCTCTAACGTTGGCTCGTTTTCGACCTCAAAGATTTCTTCCCCAAAACTTTTTCCAAAAAAACAAATCGTAGTTTTTGATGGATTACAGATACAAATCGTACTCTTCTCCGTCGACGATCGCCGTTTCTACGCCGTCCGATTGCAAGAACCTCTCATCTCAGCCGTCCGATCTCTCCTTCTCCCTCCGGTCAACGCCCTGGTTACGAGAGCTCTGGGTACCTCTCTTCAAATAGTAATCGAAATTAGGTAAAATAATTAAATTTTTTTGTTTTTTGTTTTTGGTTCAATTTTATGAGGATTTGCAGGAATATAAGTCAAAGGTGGGTTCTTGCTGTTTTAGGAAGATAATATGTTAATTCGACGGGATATGAACCCCTAGGATTTTGGAGAATTTTACAAGATAGCAAATTTATTAGCTGAGGTATTTGAGTCACTCTAAATTACAGCTACAATAGAAGTATTGGGGTTCTGAAAGGTTGAGAAAGGCTCAAGGTGAGAGTAGAGAACTGATGGGCGCTTCACATTTTCGGTAAAGTTTTAGGAGAAATAAAAATAAATAAAATTGTCAGAGAAATTAAAAAAATACAGACATGCATATGGTACATAAACTTGGTTGTGGCATTAAGGATATAATTGACTGTATGAGGATAGAGTTAGTTACCAAGGTGTTAGTAAGGAACCTAACAATGCGGACCATGGCGGCAAAGTTTTGGTTTTATTGAATAGAAAGCTAGAACAATCCTTGACTTTGTTCAGTCGACACTGGTCTTATATTAGTGATGGTTGCAGGAACCAAGATGGATTTATTTCTAATGTGGCAGTAATTCAGAAATATGGACAAAAGAGTGAAAGGGTGATATTACGAGCTTAAAGTTTGTTGTGTTATATATATATAATTAAAGAATGTTTCTTATGATCTATATATCGATTTTTCTATTTTAGGAAGTTTTAAAGAACTAGTGGGTTTTAAAATTTTATTTTGGATAATTTTGCATTAAATGAGAAGGTTTAGTATGTTTTTAGCCTTAGATCATTTGATTAGATATACTGCTCCTTTACTTAAAGCTGATTTTTATTACTTGAAGCTGATTTTGTTTGAAATCCTTTTTTCTGCGCGATCTTTTGATTCCGAGGTTATTGAGAATACAACTTTATCTGTGCTACTACTCTAACGCTGCTCTTTTTCTTTGGTTCTTCACTGTGTCAATTTTCTGTGATCACCATGTGCTCATAGTAGAGGAAAAACGTGTTAAGGCTTTTTACTTCCTCACATGTACATTGTTATTTCAGTTCCATGGTGTTATACTGGAATGGAGAGTAATGTTATTCCTTTGTACTATTTCAGATAAAATTCTGCTGATCACACTGAGATATTGAGGGCTTCACAAGCTTGATTTTTCTATTACTTTCTTCTGGGGAAATAAGTACTGCGTGCAACTTTTAACACCTTTCATCCATCAAGTACAGGATACAGTTTATCTTGTTTCCATCACTGTGAAGTCCTCTAAAATCAACCCATGCAGCGTCCAAGAGGTCAAGGTTGGGCTGACTTCGATCGCAAGCAGCGACACAAGCAAGGCACTGGAACCGAATACAATGTGGATCCTTACCCCTCCATCTCAGAAACGACATCTAATGCTGCTAGACCTTTTTTGAAAACTAATTATGTATCAATAAAGCCTTTTTCTTCAATAATCCACCCTTATTCAGGATTTCAACAGGTTGAGGGTGATTCCAAGACCCAGATTGTAAATGACAATTCTGTCACAAAGCATCACATTGATGAAATGACGAGAAAATCTGACGCAACACCGGTTACGATGCTTAAAGATAAACATCCATGGGCTGATCAAACTCTAATTGAGGATGTTTTAGTAGCCGTAAATAATGATGTAGACCAAACTTCTGTTCTTTTAAAAGAAATGGTTATGTCTGAGTCCCAATTAGAGGACCACAGCCTTTCTGGCCCAACTTCATCTACAGAGAGTTATACTTGTGAAATTAAAAGTAAATGCTTGACTGAAAGTAGTGTCGTGGAAAATAAGTTACCAGATCGGGATCATGAGGTGTCAATGTCCAAAAGCACATTGTATGTGCCTGTTGAACCGGAGTGGGAAGAGGACGATGTTTACTTGAGCCACCGGAAAGATGCTATTAGGATGATGAGGTATGTTTATATATATGTGTTAGAATTAATATAAAACTAAATTAAATGTAAAACTATAATCCTCGATTCTCACCATAATTTTGAACTTTTGGTGTAATGGTTAGAGGGACTAAATTTAATTTGGTATGATGATTAGATGGACTAAATTTAAGATGATATCAGAGTAATCCATGTTTGAATCTTGCTGGCTACAATTTGAATGTGGATTTTAAAAAATTATTACTGATACGTGAGTTCTGGTTTTCAGCCCATAAAAAAGGGCCATCAACCTGTGGGGGTATGTTAGAATTGATATATAACTATAATCCTCGATCCTCACCATAACTTCAGAGTTTTGGTGTAATGGTTAGAGGACTTAAGCAACCCAAGTTCAAATCTCATTTGCCCCGAATTTTAAGTGAATTTTCTAAAAATTGACGATTAAGCCCATAAAAAATGGCATTGAACTTGCAGTAAAATTGAACTAAATATAAAACTATAATCCTCATTCCTCATCATAACTTTGGAGTTTTGATCTAATGGTTAGATGTACCAAATTTAAGAGCAAAAATACTATATACTTTGACTAGAATTTATTATTTATCAAATAGATGCGCACAAGATTAGAAGACTTACATGGGCTGTAATTGTAAATTCTAGGCTCATCTGCGACAATATTTACAATGTCAGAAATAATAAACAGATACACTAAACTCCTAGTATGCAAACTGAATTCTTGAGTTTAAATTATTTGTCATTTACCCAGGACATTGCCTCACTTTTCTGAGAAGGTTCTCTAGGAAAGCATGGCACATACTTTGATATAAGGTTTAAACTTGATCATATGCAAGCTATATTGATTTTCAAGATTAGATGACTAATACGGCCAGGAATTTCAGGCACAACCAACTATGATATAGCATAAAAGAAAACACATATCCTAAAGTCATAGTACATATGTTGAGTTTTATATTTAAATTGTTTTGTCCTGTACTCAAGGGCTTTGCCTTGCTTGCGGAAGCTTCTATGTTAAATTTTGCGCGCGCTTGCTGTAAGCTGTTGTAACTATGTAAGCTGTGTCAACATACATAATAATGCCAGCTGTGTCGACTTACGTGTAAGTGCAAGCTATATTGATTTCCAAGATTAGGTGACCAATACGGCCGGGAATTGCAAGCACAACCAAGAGTGATTTACAATAAAAGAAAACACCTATCCTGAAGTCATAGAATATACTTTGGAGTTCTTATATTAAAAAAATTATATTTAAATTATCATGTCCTGTACTCTAGGGCTTTGTCTTGCTTTTTTTTCTTTTCAAGAAGCTTCTCTGTTAAACTGTGCGCATACTTGGTTTAAGCTGCCTTAACTGTGCAAGCTGTGTCAACTTACATGACAAATGCAAGCTGTGTCAAGTTACATGACAAATGCAAGCTGTGTCAACTTACATGATAAATGCCCAAATGGTTCTGTCAGGCAAACCTCAATTTATTTTTATATGATAAGTATAAACATATTGCTTCTCTTTAATTGTTAATTCGCTGATTAAAGATTATATCTTTCTTATGTTATTGCATATAGTTTCTTTAATGTATTACTGTTTTTAAGCAATTATAATGAGGATGCAACGCCACGTGTTCTTGAAGCCACTGCATGTAATTAGTGAATAACTCACGGTGATAACTGTGAGTTTTCTCTACGGCCAGTATATACATGAAATCTATGTACAATTTTGGATATGCAACATTTTAATTTAGGGTTACTTTCACATAAAAATCCCCCCCCCCCCCACGCACCCCCGAGGACTTTTAGCGGGGGGGGGGGAGGTACACATAGCCCTCTGAACTTTTATTTTATCTCACATAACACTCCTGAACTTTGCGGTTTTGCACAAAACCCCCTTGAACTTGGAACTTTTCTCACCAGACCAGCATAGATGTAATTTGCAAATAACTAAAAGTTTCTTGTGGAAAAGACTTCCAAACTTGGTTATTTGTCATCTACAGAAATCATACCCCCTCCTAAATTTAGGGGGGGGTTTTGTGAAATTAACCCTTTTATTTATCCATGCAAAAGTTGGTAACATACTATCGCCGAAGAATCCTTACGTCTAGGGGTGAGCACAGTTTGATTCACACCGAAATCACAGGTTGAACTGCCCGAACTTTGTTAGTTTGGTTTGGTGCAGAATGTAATTTCGGTTGGGTAGGTTGAGTAAATCAAAGTCAGGTTGAGTAAATTGCAAACCGAACTACCCGAACCTGACCGAATATAACATACATTAACTCTCTCACAACTCTTCCATGAACTAGAGATTTTAATTCTCTTGAAAACGACAATTGACAGTGAGTATGTCTAAGATTTTCCTTTTAAAATAATTTAAGTATTACTACTAAAGAGAGGATGGCAGTCAAGAGAGTTAAAGTTGCACACAACACCTGTTGACAGATGTCGATAGCGCAGTATAGTCATAGGGATTAGGGACATTTTTAACTAATAAAGTATAATTCCATTGATTTATAGATATTGGTTTTTCCAGATGACTGATGACTTGATTTATCACGTCATGAGCACGTATTGTTTGGTCAGTTGTTGTCTGCAGATGTAATACTCAAGATTACTGATCAAACTGCACTGCACTAACTGAACCGAATCAGTTTCACTTCGGTTCGGCTCTGAGAAGCCATTTACCAACTGAATGCTCACCCCTACATACATCTTCTAATTTTAGAAAGTATTTAGCATGAAAACCCTCTTTGTGTTGTTTTCTGTTTGAGGTAATTTTTTTGTGAAGATTTAATCTTTGTAGATCACGATGTTAACTGACATTGGATGTAGATGCCATTGAACATGTGCTATGAATACTGATAGATTTTCGATTTTCTCCTTTCCTTTGTTGTTTCCAATCGGGCATATAGGACTGTATACAGCTCAATGAGCTCATTTATGTAAGATTCATTCTTGTGCTCTTTGCAGTGAAGCACAAGTGTTTTTGTACTTTGATCAAATGAAGGGAAATGAAATAGCGAACCATTAGGCTTGTTTATTGATTTGTGTGCTTTAGATTGATCAGATTTGCAGCCCAGATTGGATTTAAATATTGAATAGATTCTGTTGTAATGTCTCCTGAGCTGGTCCAATCTAGTTTTCAACAACATTGATATTCGTCTTGTTTAACAATAACACATTCAGTCACTGACTTGTCACTCCTTATTGCTTTTGTCTTGTCTTGTAATATTGAAATGTGTCATAGATGTTGCAAGGCTCGTACATAGGCCTTATGTTAAATTTTGATCAATTGAAAGCATGACAAGAGTAATTTAAAATTTATGGGCAATTTTACTACTGGATAATAATTAGTTCTATTCATCATTACTTGACCATATTATTCATAGGTTCTTTTAAGTTGGACTAAACCTATTTTATGTGTTGTCTTGGAAAGATGATCTGCAATGTATTTCATATGTTCATCATTCATTTTCTTTCTCTTCCAATAAAAAACAGGTTGGCATCTCAGCATTCACGTGCTGCTAGTAATGCCTTTTTGAGAGGCGACCATGTTTCAGCACAGCAGTATTCCTCGAGGGCACGCGATGAGTGGTTGTCTGCTGAAAAATTGAATGCTAATGCTGCCAAAAAAATACTATCCATCAGGAACAACCAAAATGACATATGGAATATAGATTTGCATGGCCTACATGCCTCTGAAGCTGTAAGCGCATTGAAGGACCATCTGCAGAATATTGAAGAGATGCCACCAAGGCGTTCAGCTTCTTCTGATAAGTTAACAAAGCTGGAAGGTGGTATTTCACGTTCTGCATCTTGTGAGTATGTTGGTGGAATAGAAGCAAACAGTGAGACGAAGAAAAAGGAATTACCCCAGCAGAGGCAGATGATACTGAATGTTGTCACAGGTTTGGAATTTTAACATGCCACTTGTAGATATCCGAATTCGACTGCATATAATAACTGATATTTTTTTTCCTCGACTGCTGAACAGATAATTTCCGATATAAATTTGATATCTATATGGCTAGTTACTTATTATTTTTCCCCCCTAGGAAACAACTGCTTAGGGTGTGTTTGGTGCTGCTTTGCTTTCAAGTCCGGTTAAAAGAGAGTTATATAAAATCACCTTGTAGAAGATTGTTTTAGTATAGTTGAAATATTTGATATTAAATGCTTAGCAAACGAAGTAGATTACTTGGAAGGAATTTGCTTAAGGTTGGATTTGCAACAACAAGAAAGCTTCTCTTTCAGATTTTGGGGCTCAGCTATTTGAATCTTTTCTTACGTTCAAGTTACTTTGAGGTCCACTTCATTTACTAAAAATAAACCACCAGCATGTTAGTAATCTCTTCAGTGCAAGTTAATTTAAGCCTACCTCTAATTTGCATGGATGTCTTATAGAATTTTTGATAAGAGCAATTCAGAAAAACGAGAAAAAGGCTTGAATATTATGCAAATGCCAGATGACATAAACTTACAAGAGATTGAAGAGATCACATGATATATCTTTCTGTTGCTTTTGCTGCCATCAGGAGCCAAAAGGTCAGGCTTCTCTTAACTGCCGTTTTTTTATCTTCTGCTTCTCCAGAAAGCTTGTTTTGGGTGAAAAACAAGCACCCATTGTCTTAAAAAATGGTGCATGCACTTTTTGCAAGCAATGCAAAGCACACCCTTTGTTATTGAGTTTTAGGTGATGAGGAAAATTTTGACTGAGATTTTCACGTTCTGTTTGCTGTTCCTTCTGTAGATATTGCTCATGGGCTTATTGGTGAAAATAAGCGCTCTGTAATAAATAGTTTGCTTATGAGTAAAACTATGCACTGTGTGTTGAGTTGTTTTAATTGCATTGCACATAAATTGTTAGCTTATTGGAGGTTTTAGTTACATAAAGCTGGCGGTATGCGAAAATAGTTAATTTCTCCATAATTTATGTGATCTTCTCATTAAGCAGTTCCCGCTTTGCGGTTAAATGTTTGATAGAAATTTTTTGATATATTGACCGGAAGGGAACTTTACCGGGTGTGGATTATATGAATATGTTAATAATCACAGAGTGGTAACTTTGATTACTTTGTTTAGAGGGCTTCTAAACTTTTCATGATTTTCAGTTTTTTTTTTAAATATATGCCTTTTCTACATGGTGACCCATGACTTTGGAAAATTGCTCCATGTTTTCTTACAGGCATGGGCAATCACAGCAGAGGACAAGCTGCACTACCTTTAGCAATTAAAAGCTTTCTCATTGAAAATGGGTAGGTTTCACCAAAAATCCTGAAGCGAAGAATTTCATTATTACCCTCTCATCCAATGCTCACTTGCTCATTCTTTTTAACTGTACCAGATACCGCTTCGATGATGCAAGACCTGGTGTGTTTGCTGTTCGTCCAAAGTTTCGCCATAAGTGATTCCGGAAATCATGTCATGTATTTCTTCCACTATGATGATTTTTTCAGTTAATTTAGGTCTATCCATTTTATTTTCTTGGGTTGCAGTGGTGCATTGTACTATGCCCAGTTGTTTATGTATTATGGGGATGCAGTTACATTTTCTTCTGTCCTACCATTTATGTTAATTTTTTAGCTGTTCTTTATGGGAAATGTACTTTCTTGTGATGGATAGATAAGTAGATTCTTTGTGATACAACCTTTTCTTTAAATTTTGAATGATGGGACACAGGTTGAGTACATATCATGTACCATTTGTTTAGAGTAACATATTACTAGTTTGGTAACTGCTTTAAACTCCAAATCTTTTATCTTCAGTGCTAAACTGAAACTATTGTGTTTAAGGTTGACACATTTTTGTTTATAGTTTGTTGGTGGGAATCCACATGACATGCTCATACTACTTTGTTCCAGAACCCAATAGTTGGGGCTTGGCTTGCCCAAGGTGACACTATTATAATTGATTGTTGCTTAAATTTGTAGGAGAAAATTTGTGAAATTTGTTTAGATTATCTTCTTTCTATAACTGGATATAATGGCTGTCTTTAAACATAATAACAGGTATTTAAGAGTTAATGATCTATCTTTTGGTTTTGAATGAAAAAGCAAAAAAATTTTTTAATAGAAAACATTGTTCTTTTTTTTCGTGCAAAAGGTTGCCTCTAAACTTTCAAAATTCTGAACTATAGGAGGATATACCCAAAGTCAGTGATCTCATTTTAATTCGGATACCTCACGGGACTATGAATGTCTTTGAATCATCTCCCTCTGGCTTGAACCAGAGTTTTCTTGGATCGTTTGACTAATTAGTAAAACCTCGAGTTTTTGGGTATTTAGGAGAAAAAGATTATCTCTAAGCCCTCTGTCATCCATATGCATTCATCTTAAATAATGTACTCAGTAAAATGATCTAGAAACTTGGCAACCTGTGGATATGACCTGTGTCATCCTCTGATTTGCTTTTTTTTTTAATAATCTTGACTCCCCCTACGTTAACCAGAAAAAAAGATTTGCAAATCCACCTATTTGTTGACAATCTTAACAGTTGGCCAGTCATGAAAAGAATCAAAACCAATAATCTCCTGCTAATTACAGAGAATTAATCCTATCCTTAAGGAATTTGGATCCTGTCAACAGAGAAGGAATCTAGTGAAGCGTATACTGGAAACGATATAGACTTTCTTATGAGGGAATGAATGGGGATTAACCATGAGTGTATCTGGACTATTCATCTCCTCTTCATGATTTGGATACAATTACCAGGGAAAGAACCTAGATTATATTTCTATTTAGTCATTCAGGTTCATGCACCTCCATTATTTCTAATAATGGATCTCTTCTATATAACCCGTCATGTTTGTGGGTGGAGAGGCATCCATTGCTAGACTGTAGAAGTCATGTAGATGCAGTGTTTATGATATTCTTCAATCACCACTATATTCTGTCTTTTATGTAAAAGCATGGGTTTCTTATTTTCCCTCGACTCCCTAGGCTTTCTAGTTGCTTGTGCAATTAAGTTATGTTTCCATTGACATGGGTTTTTGTACTCTTTTGCTTCCTTTCAATAGGTTCCTGAATTTCTTTGGTTTATGTTCATAGTTTATTGTGATAGGTAAGATGTGATCAAATTTTAGTACCATTGGCGTTGTAAGAATGGATGTTTGATGGTCTCCTCATGGGATCGTGGAACATCCATCTTGACATTCTGTACCATCAAAACCAGAATGTCTTGCTTAGGAGACAAGATATGAGTTTGATAGGCGTTTCTGATTAGGATGAAGAATTAGAATTTTAGGGAACTTCACTTTCTTTTACATCTTCTTTTGAGGACATTAGTTAGTAGGTTAATAATAGACAAATTCTTCATATTAAATCCTTACGGGGGAAGAGGAGGATATGGTCCAGAGTAATCGAAATTTGTGTGCTGCACAATTGGCAAGTTTTTCACCTTTTTGTTACAGTTGTTTACTTTTTCCTTTTTTTCATTGGTGATATTTAATGTTATGCATTTTATCATTTACAGGGCACTGTGTTCAGTTCAGGATATGAGCTCTCTTGTTTTCTTTATTATAGTGTCAGAAACTGTAGAAATTAACAAGGAAGAAAGCAGTGATTATCAAAGATTGGTCAAGTTCCTGAAATGAAATTATGTAAATGAGAGAGAAAAAAATACTTATCTTGCTTCTTTTTGCTGCTACCCCTGTAGTTATAATACTGTTGTGGTTACGATTAAAACTCTCTCACATGTATTTTCGAAGATGGTTTAATGATTTCATTTTATGTAGTCAAGATCAAATTCCATAGTTCACCTTTTGCTTCAATTCCTTTGTTCTTGAAAAAGATGTATACCTTGGCTTCGAGGAGTTTGTGTGGCATGGTGAGAGGAATAAAGTTGAGTCTAGACATACTGTTAAATGTCTTTTCTCATTGGCCTGTATTTCTATTGTCAGGAACTTTTTTATTGTGTCTGTGAAGGTGAATTGATTTTGGTCATCTAGAATAATGCAAAATACTGTTCATTCTCTGGTGTTGTAAGTCATATTTCTTGGACAAGGAATGCAACTTGCGACATTTAAGCTTATTAATTTCTTAATTTCGTTGAACTGATACTGCTTTCCATGAGTTTATGTGGATGTGCCATGGACTTTAGGATCAAAGTCTTCACTTATGGTTTGATGATATATGTAACTTCTGAGTTCTGATTAAGGACTCACACGCTTAAGATTGAAAGTGCTTGTTCTATTAATGGTCCTAAAATTTTTTAGTTCCATTTTCTCAGTTTATAATAACGATTCACTCTTTCATTGGTGGAATATTCCCCCGTTTTTTTGTTTTTTCCCCCTACTTTTGGAATTTCTGTGTTGGATGTGTATCTGCAGATAGTCATATACTTGTCAATACTTTTCATACCAAGTTTTGAAATAGTGTAAAACTACAGACTGGGCTCATTTTATATGTTTTGTGCCATTATCATATTGCATCTGTTACTTATATTTGTTTTCAAGAAGCTTTATTTGGAACTTAGTGATTTTATATGTTTTGTGCCATTATCATATTGCATCTGTTACTTATATTTGTTTTCAAGCACCTTTATTTGAAACTTAGTATCCATGTGTTTTTGAGATTTTATATGTTTTGTGCCATTATCATATTGCATCTGTTACTTATATTTGTTTTCAAGCAGCTTTATTTGGAACTTAGTATCCATGTGTTTTTGAGATTTTATTATATGTTTTGTGCCATTATCATATTGCTTCTGTTACTTATATTTGTTTTCAAGCAGCTTTATTTGGAACTTAGTGATGAACATTACATTGTTATTACTCTCATTCAGTAGGGTAATGTTGTAGTCTCCTCAAAAACAAGAACTCTGTACACTTCTTGTGCAGGCTGGTTAGTAGCGTGTCCTGAAGAAACCAGGAAGTTGCAGCTCTTAGTCAATCAGTCCTTATTAAGGTAATTGATGGTGTATCCTTAAATTCTGGCTATTCTTCAAAAGAAAATTACCTTCTTTAATTGATAAATCATAAAAATAACTTTTCTTTTACTTCTTCCTCTCTTCTCTTCCATTTTGTTTACACCAGAACCCAAATGGATTTGTTGGGTTCGGCAGCCATAATGACCACCACCGGTGAAACCTAGGACCATGGATTAATGATGACCACCGGTGAAACCTAGGACCATGGATGGTCAGACTTCATTGGATGTTGCTGGAGATGACGCGGATGACCGGAAGAAGTTATTATTTTTAACCTATAAACTAGCCCATAAAACATAACTAAAAAGTTTTCACTAACCTTTGAAGCTCCGTCTCCTCTCTCTTACACTCTGTGATCCGTAGATTCTTTCTTACTTTTTCTTTTAGTTTATTTTTTCTTTGTAGAAGCAAGATCATTTGATTTGTTGGTTTTTTTACATGGCTTTTGTATTTCTAAAACTCCCATATTAATTATACTTACAACACACAATAACCCAATCTATAGTTATGAAACTCTTCATTAACTTAAAAAAAAAAGATAATCTACAGAAGGACCATCTGCAGAAAATTGAAGAGATACCGCCAAAGTGTTCAGCTCTCTGATAAATTAGCAAAGCTGGAACGTGGTGCTTCACGTTCTGCATATTGTGAGTATGTCGGTGGAGCAGAATCAAGCAGTGAGATGATGAAGGAACTAACCCGGGAGAGGCAGATGATACTGCACATTTTCACAGGTTTGGAATTTTAACATGCATGCTCACTTGTAGATAGCGGAATTCGACTACATAGGTTGAGTTAAGAGAGTTATCTAAAAGTACTCTGTAGAAGATTGTTTCAGTGTACTTGAAAGATTTGATTTTAAATGCTTATCAAAGGAAGTAGATTATTTGGAAGGTAATGCTTAAGGTTGGATTTGCAACAACAACAAAGCTAGCTTCTTTATCAAATTTCAGGGCTCAGCTCTGTGAATCCTTTCTTACATTCAGTTCTTTCGAGTTTTAAGGTCCGCTTCCTCAATTAAATAAATCACCATCATGTTGGTAATTGCTTCACCCAAGTTAATTTAAGCTCACCTCAAAGTTTAATGGACGACTGAGCGAATTTTGTCAGGAGCAATTCGGGAAAGAAGAGAAAAGTTTCAAATTTTAAGTTCCAGATGACATAAAACTTATGAGAGAATAAGAATGCCACCTGATACGTCTTCTGCTTCTCTAGAAAGTTCGTTTTGGGTGAAAACAAGCGCCTCTGCGAGCAATGCGAAGCGAGCCCTTGGTTTCTGAATTTTAGGTGATGAGCAAAATATTGACCGAGGTCTTCATGTTCTGTTTACTGCTGTAGATATTACTCGTGGGGTGTTATTGGAATTATTTGCTCATGGGTGAGACAAACCTCTCTGTAATAAATTGTTTGCTCTTGGGTAAAACTGTGCACTATGTGTTGAATTGTTTTAACTTTTAACCGCTGATAAAATTTTTAGTTTGGCGGGGGGTTGTCACTGGGTAAGGCAGGCAGTATTTGAAATTTTTTATTTTCTACATACCTAAACTTAATGTTGTCTTTTTTCAACATGCAGTTAAAAGGTTTGATAGAGAAATGATGATATGTTAAATGGAATGATAATTTTGATTATATGAATAATCCCAGAGTGATAATTTTGAGTTTTTGGGAGCGTATGCCTTTTCTACGTTGT